TCGGGGAGGACTGGAGCAAACGGGTACAGCCGAGCAGTGTTTGCCTCCGCGGAGATGCAGAAGCCTACAGAATAAGTGAAAAACCTCAGCTTTTCACGCAGCTACATGATGCCAGGGCCAGGGAGGGCTCTCCTCTCCACCTCAGGACCACGGTTTAAGAGTAGCTGACCCAAAGCGAGCGAGTAAAATGCCAGCTGCAGGTCCCTCCAAGCATGGTGGCACTTGCCCTTCTGCTTGGGCTCGCTGCCCTCGACGTGGGGGGACCGAGATGCCAGGTTTGCCAAGGCTTCGCACCCCCCCCAGACGCATGCTGGCCTCGGGAAGGTGTGTTTTTAAAAGGCAGCTCTGCAGATGACAGACCACCACCCCCCGGGCATGCACCCGCCTCATCCCTGGCAGGGGGGACATCACGCCTTTTCCCCAGCGAAAGGAGCACCTGGGGACTTTGTACAGGTTTTCACCAAGTTTTAAGCAATTCCCGCAAAGAGAGTGAGCTTCTTCAGCTTTTAATGCTTGGAAATCTCCAAATTAAGGAGAGGGATGGTCCCGGGGCGCCGAGAGCCGTGATGGATTCTGCTGCATCCGCACGCATGCAGAAATGGGCACACGACAGGGTATTTTTTTTCCCCTGTCCTTTGGCCGAGCGCTTTCCCTGCCGTAGCGAAGGCGGCCAAACACCGCCCTGGTGCAGACAGGCAGGAACCCGTCCTCCCCAGGAACTGGGATGGAGACCAGGGACCACAGCTGAGGCAGGAGCAGCTCCAGCATCAGCAGCTCGTCACAGCATGGACCTCACCCCTCTTCGCCAAGTGCTTCACCGTGGACTGTGCAGGAGTGTCGTGGCTGCTCCTGGGTAAGGACATCCTCTCTCTTCAGGTCTTTAAGCCGTTAAATCATCCCCAGAATGGCATGAACAGAGCAGAACCACTGCAAAGATCCTGCAGTGGAGCAAAAAGCAGGAAAGGATGAGAACAAAGCTACAGGAAGGAAGAAGCAGCTCCTCCACAAGGTCGCTTGGTGTCACATTTTTTTCCTATTACAAAAGCAGAATGGTGGGAGGAGCAGCTTCCTTCACCTTATTACTACCTACAGATATTTCAAGCACTTTTGTTCCAAGAACAGCTTCACACAGGTATTTCACAAGACTGAGATTACTCCAGGGCAGAAACAGGTCCTGAGAAACAAAAAAGAAAAACAACAACACTGCCTTAATTGATGATGGAGCATCTCGGAAGGATTTCCAATCCAAACGCTTCGTCACACACCCAGCAAGCAGGGTGAGCCCCAGCCCCGGGTGCCCATGGAGTGCAGAGGGGTTTGGGGCTACCCGGGTGACCACAGAAACGGAGAGGGCTCAGTGCTTCGGCTTGGATGCCAGCAGACATCACAGAATCACAGAATGGTAGGGGTTGGAAGGGACCTCTGTGGGTCACCCAGCCCAACCCTCCTGCCCAAGCAGTGTCACCCAGAGCAGGCTGCAGAGGACCTTGTCCAGGAGGATCTTGAATATCTCCAGAGAAGGAGACTCCACAGCCTCCCCGGGCAGCCTGGGCCAGGGCTCCGTCACCCTCAGAGGGAAGAAGGAGGTGCGTGGTCCTCACCCCGTGCAAAGAAAACTCAGCCTTCAGCCTGCGTGGTCTTTGGGACGAGCGGTGCGAGATGCATGGGCCAGCTCTGGCTGGGAACACAGATTTTGGTGGCTGAATTTTCACAGTTGAGACCCCCCCCTTGCCCTGGGCAGGGGTACGTAAATATGTGACATGGGGAAGCAACCAGTTTTCCTGGAAAAATTCCAGTGCTGGGATAAGGGTGACCTCCTGAAGGGAAAAGGGCAACGTAGCAATTATCTACTACGTCTATACGCCCCTTCTCGAGAAGCTATGAAATAAATATGAACAAGAATTTCTATGACACAGCCGCAATGATGACATCATGCACACCCAACGCACAGCGCGGACACCAATTACGTCCTTACAGAGGCAACCTGGGGAGAGCAGAGGAAAGGCAGGCAGCGCTGGGAGGGCACACAGCAGGAGGGCACGTGGCAGGAGGTGTGAGGAGGAGGCAGAAGAGGTTCTTCCAATTATCAAGAACAGCCAAAGTGAAGGATCTCATTCTAATTAATTAACCACAACTTGGTCAGGCATTGGAACAGGCTGCCCAAGGAGGTGGTGGAGCCACCATCCCTGGAGGTGTTTAAAAACACGTAGATGCGGCACTTCAGGATGTGGTTTAGTAGCAATGGTGGTGTTGGGTGGATGGAAAAAAACCCCACAAAACCAAAAACAGGGTTGGACTAGCTGACCCACAGAGGTCCCTTCCAACCCCGAACGTTCTGTGTGATTCTGTGAGAGCCGGTCAGCCCTCTCCCCTCTTCCCCCCCACCCCACGCCAGACAGACTCCAGCACCCCGACCCTCACTTGAGCCGCACGCACATCGCAAACCGTAGCTGTGCAAGCGCAAAAAGGAGCGGCGAGGCAGCGGAGCTCTGTCTGAAGCACGCAGCACAGCAAAGCAGATTTTCTTTCCGTAAGGCGCACACACCGATTCACAGGGTGGGTAATTGTAACCGAGCCAGCGACCGGCAACCTCAGCCAGCTAAATACCACCCCTCTGGTGCGTGTTCTCCAGCAGGTTCAAAGCTTTAGCACTAATGGAGACAGTCCCAAGGCGGGAGAGTAAAAGCGTTCCCCAGCTCTTGCGACGAGCCACAGCCATTTCAACATTTTTTTCTGCATTTCTAAGAGCCAGGCTAACCCTGGCCACTGCAAATTCTCAGCAAAACACAGAACTGCAGCTTTCCTGACGGCCTCAGCCGAGCAGCGGGAGGAAGGCATTTCAGGTACCAACTTACAGGCACACCCGCGCTGCCAGCACCCGCCTGTCACATCACAGAATCCCAGCGTGGTGGGGTTTGGCAGGGCCCTCTGTGGGACACCCAGC